TCCAAAAAAGTATTGTAAAATAATATAAAAAAATTTTTTATCAATTGTGTAACAATTTTGTGACGTTTCAACGTTTCTCCCTGTTTAAGCAATCAAAAAAGATTACGTAATCATGAGTATTTAAAGCTGAGTTCAAAAATTTTTATATGCGTTTTCGAAAGTCTTTAAACTGCTTACTGCTTTAATTGAAACCAGCAATCATTAAACACTCTTGATTATTATTATTAATGGCGAAACATCATCCAGATCTTATCATGTGCCGTAAACAGCCTGGCATTGGTATAAATTTTTTTTAAAAATTTTTAGTTCTTATTTCGTGGTATATATTAATGATTTCGCGTTATGTTTTGTTAATTGACAGCTATTGGCCGTTTATGTGAAAAGTGCGACGGTAAATGTGTGATCTGTGATTCGTAAGTAAAAAATAAATCTTTAATATCGGATTTAATCACAATTATGACTAAAATCTTTATTCTTTCAGATATGTACGGCCAGATACTCTTGTTCGGTTAGTAATTATGTATAATCTTTAGCAATAAACAAGCAGTAACAAATAGTACATAACATTTTTACATTATTTATTAGAATTTGTGATGAATGCAATTATGGATCTTACCAAGGCCGTTGTGTGATCTGTGGTGCACCTGGTGTTTCGGATGCTTATTACTGTAAAGAATGTGTTTTACAAGAGAAAGACGTAATTATTTTTCATAAAATCATTTTTCTTTACATTTTTATTCATAAACGATAACATGATTTTATCAAATTAGAGAGATGGTTGTCCAAAGATTGTGAATCTTGGATCATCAAAAACGGATCTATTCTATGAACGGAAAAAATATGGATTTAAGAAAAGATAGCATTCGATTTACGTAAGTTATATAGAGTTATAGAGTTGTACAACTTCTTTTTATACTGTAATTTCACATTTATTTTATTTAGAGTAAAATCGTGACGATTATGGTTCGTAACATCTAAAGACATCAAATTTATATAACTTTTCAAATCTATCTATATTATATATCAAAAAAAGAAAAAAAAGAATAAATAAATAAACTGTAAAATAATAGACATAATATTTCTCTTTCAGATAGAGATTCTGATTCGATGAATAGAACGTCCGGGTATTCAATGAATTTTTTTTGAATACCCTTTTGCCTACGATCGAAGCTAAGTTTATAACACTAATTTCGTCTGAAGATCATTTAATATGGCAAAATTCAAAACGTTTTATTAAAATAGTTTGATTTAAATCTTTTGTAATACTTCAAAAATCAAATCTCCCATACGGTCATATCCATCGGTCGTCAAATGAACACCATCAGGTTCCCAATATGAGTTATTTTCATATGGTAGATCTTTGGCTAAATCATAAAATATAATATTCTCGTTCGTTTCTGCATAATTTCTGTAAGAAATTCATGAAAACTTTTAAATGCAATAAAAAACATTTATATCCAAATAATAATAATAATAATAATAATAAATAATATTTACTTAATCAATTCGTTAATCTTTACCCTTTTTTTATTAAAATTGGGGAAAAAAGCCTAATTTTATTTGTTCAAAAACAAGTTATTATAATTTAATTTTTGATAAATTTAATTTTATTGAAGTAAATCGTCCATACCTCATTAACTTCAAGGATAGACATTGCTAAAACTTTGGCATTATTTTGCTCACAAATACTGTAAAGTTCTTTTAACCCTTCAAAAATACTTTGCGAACTTGACCTATTCATATCATTTGTACCTTTTTTTTTTTTAGATAGACAATTAGTAATCAGTACAGTATTTTTATCCGGCAGCTTACTATGATAGTGTTGCCAAAATAACTCGAGTTATTTGGCAGTTTATGTAATCACTACCAAAACTTGAGATATTTAGAAGCACAATCGTCGTAAACCACCAGATAAAACCATTATTGTATGCTA